CTCAATCAGATCTTGTTCTAATAAATATCGATATAGTTTACTTATGGTTTTGCCTTCCCTGCTAAATAAAATTTTATCTAATTCTGATTATTCTTGCTTTATGCCCCATTCCTTTTTATCTTTGCTAAATTTAGATTGAATTTGGAGATACGCCCACCATTCCAATTCGATTCCTTCTTTCTTTAAAGTATTTCTTGCTTTTAATTCTCCTTTCTCATTCAAAATATCTTTATAGGTGACAGCTCCCCGTTTTGTCAAATTTGGATGTGTGTACATTTCTAATGTTGACACCCAATTAGGAATTTCCATATAATTATTTCTTGTTGTTTTTTTCCAAATATCCAATAGTGCTCTCCTAATATAATGCCTCCGGAAGTACTGATGGACTAAATGTTTTTCCTCCCATAGAATAGCGTGCCAGCGTCTTTAAGTCATGACTTTCTAGTGCCAATAGTCTTGTGTTTTTAAGATGCATCCACTCACTTAGCCAAACCAACGCCGCTGCCTGATAATACTTTGTCCAGTCTGGTAGGCTAAATCCTCCTCTTTCTCTAGCATCTTGTAATAATTTGAATCTGATTCTCGGTCGTTTCCCTTGCCATATGAATTTTGAAATGAGTCTGTCCAAATTTGTAAAAAAATCTTTTTTGCGCCGAATTGGTATGCATTGGAATAAAAAAAACATTTGCGGAAGAACATTCATTTTGAAGGTGGCTATCCTGCCCATTAGAGATAGCTGTAATTTTCCCCATTTTTCCAAATCAGACCTAATTTAGGCCATTAATTTGTCATAGTTATCTTCTTTAAGTGTGATTCATCTCACTGTTAATTGAATTCCCAAATATCTTATTTTTTTCATAGTCTGAATATTTATCTTTCCCTCCACTTTTTTTTTGTTCTTTAGTCATATTTTTAACTATTATTTTTGTTTTATCCTTGTTTATTTTCAGGCCTGCTACTTCCCCATAGTCCTCCAGCATTTCCATCAGCCTAAAACCAGATTGTACAGGCTCTTCAGTAATAAATACAAGGTCGTCCACAAATGCCTGTACCTTAAAACTTTCTTTTCTTACTTTTAAACCTTTGATTTGTTTGTCTTCTTGAATTGTTCTAATTAAAGCCTCTAGTGATAAAATAAAAAGCAGTGGTGATAGTGGATGTTGCCTTGTACCTTTTTGGATTAAAAAGTTCTTTGTCATTTCCCCGTTTATCACCACTCTGGCTTCTTGTCTGGAGTAGATTGTTTTAAAACATCTTTATAAATTTCCCCCTGAAATCCATACATTTTAATCGTTCTAATATGAAGTCCCATTTAACATTATCGAATGCTTTTTGCGCATCGATAAATATCAACGCCATCTGTTTTTCATTGTGGACTTCATAGTATTCTATCGTATCCAAGATAATCCTGATGATGTTCCTTATATGCCGTCCGGGAAGAAAACCGTTTTGATCAGTATGAATGAAATTCTCTAAAATTTTCTTTAGTCTGTCTGCCATAATTGTCATAAAGATTTTATAATCCGAATTTAGTAGGGATATCGGCCTAATTTTTAATATAAGTCAAATCGGAATTTTCCTTGGGAATCAATGTGATTGTTGCTTCTTTCCACGATTCAGGTATCTTAGCTTCATTAAGTACATCATTATACACCTCTAATAACAGTGGGCTTAATAATTCCTGGTGATTTTTATAAATTTCTGAAGGTAGACCATCTGGGCCTGGTGCTTTGTTACTTTTTTGTTTTTTGATTGCCTCAGATTGTATTGTATTGTATTGTATTTGTTTATTGAATAGCCCAAAGGCCTTTTCAAACAAAACAGAAAAGAAAAAGGGATATCTCCCATGCTGTTATCTCATTATTTAATAAATTTTTACCTTCCTCCGAGATTCTGGGCAATTCTGTTGCCCTATCTTAACCTTCTTCTATCTTCTCCTTATCCTCATATAGGTTTTTTAAAAACTCATACGCTACCTTCCTGTTCACGTCATTTTGATAAATTAACTCTTCTTTATTATGTAATTTACTAATCTGGTTCTTTTCTTTCTGTTTTCTTAATCTATAAGCCAGCCATCTTCCCAGCTTATTTGCATTCTCAAAAAAAAATTGTTTAATGCTTTTAATTTGTTGTGCCATATTTTCCTTTTCAATGATATTTGTGTTTGTGTTTATTTGTTGTTTCAATTCCCGTTTTATGGGTTCTTTCTGCAGCTCTTTTTCCAGTTTGCTAAGACCTTCCTCTAATTTTTTTTGCCGTTGTCTTTTTTGTTTGTTGTCTTTGGCCATGTATGATATTGCGATACCCCTCATAAGAAGCTTTTGCCATGTCCCACAGGTTCTGATTGTTCGTATCCTCTTTATTACTTTGAAAAAACAAACTCATTTGATCAACCATCTTTAATTTAAATTCATTTTGATTCAAGATTGCTCTTTTAAGGGTCCACCTCCTTGTCTTTTTTTGCCCCTTTCCATTTAATTTTAATGGGATTGTGATCTGCCCATGAATTTATGTCAATATTAACTTCCTCAATTCCTAGATTCAAATCTGTCGATGCCCAAACCATATCAATTTGAAACCAAGATTGATGTCTACCTGAATAAGTATATTGTTTCTTATCCCCATTTCTTTCCCTCCAACAATCCTTTATGCTTAATTCTTCCACCATCTTGAAAAATCAATTAGGTAATATCCTTCTAACACTTTTCTTTTGTTTGTCATTTCTATAGACTAATTCTCTATCTACAATCACATTGAAATAACCAATTATACACAAATTATCGCATTCTAGGTCTCTAATCATGTTATAGTTTCTTATAAAATAGTTTTTGGCCCTCATTTGGTGCATATATCCAACTAACATCAGTTTTGTCCCATCCACAGTTAATTCTATTATCAATATTCTGCCCTCTTCATCTTTATACATTTGTTTGGCCAAAATACTCTCTTTTACATACAGTACAATTCCCCCTTTCTTCTGTTGTGATGAAGATATCTGCTTGCCATGGATTGTGTATGTTGTTTGATAATTGTTTTTAATGGTATGGTTTTTAATACTTTAGCAAGTGTGCAGTCTTGCTGTTTACTGAGATTCTATAAAATATATGAAAAGCATTGATATAAGAGACTTCAAAGAGCCTTTCCTCTTCTAAGTATTACTGAAGTAGATTTGTGGAGCTGTGTTGATGGTACATTAACTTGGACTAGCTTTTATATAAATATAATCAAACAGATGATATTTTGGGGTGTGAGGTCAAAACATTTATAAATGGATTCCCTTTAAAGGCTTTTTTGAACTTTTACTTGTCTACATCCAATAGTTTAATGTTTAGAATCAGGATTAGAAATAACAGAGTTTACCAATTAAACGAGAAAACACATAATAAACTATAAATCTAGTAGTAGAAAGATGTAGCAAAATAAAACTCTGAAACACAATGATTGCGGGAACAACTGTATCCCTACTCAAGAGTTTTGTGGCACTCTCAGGCATTTGTGGGACACATTGGCAGAAATCTTCTAGAAGATAAACAGAGTTGGAAGGGACCTTGTAGGTCATCTAGTCCAACCCCCGCCCAAGTAAGAGACCCTATACTATTTCTGACAAATGGCAGTCCAATCTCTTCTTGAAAGCCTCCAGTGATGGAGCTCCCACAACTTTCGAAGGCAAGCTGTTCCATTGGTTGATTGTTCTGTCAGAAAATTTCTTATTTCTAGGTTGAATCTCTCCTTTGTCAGTTTCCATCCATTTATAGAATAGCTTTATAGCTGGTTGTCCACTAAGACTCCAAGATCCCTCTCACAGTTACTGTTATTAATCCTGGTTTCACCCAATCTATGTGTGTACTTTTGGCTTTTCTTGCCTAAGTGTAGGACTTTACATTTCTCTACATTGAATTTCATTTTGTTAGATAGGGCCCAGTCTTCAAGTCTGTTAAGCTCCATCTGGATCTTGAGCCTATCTTCTAGGGTGTTAGCTATTCCTGCCAGCTTAGTATCATCTGCAAATTTTGTAAGTTCCCCTTCTATTCCCTCACCTAAATCGTTTATGAAGATACTGAAGAGTACTGGGCCTAAAATGGAACCTTGTGGCACTTGTGTGATATTTAACCCGGAATACTTTTCAGGTGAATTCTAAACTGAAAACTCCTTGTATTCTAGGAATGCACATATGTACTAGCCCCTTCTCACAAAATAGCAAATGTGAAAAAGTGGAGCTGTGACCTCTTTGCATTTTGACAAGAGTGCTGGCCTATGGTCTTCTCTGGCAATCAGTGAGAATTTAAAGTAGTTCAGCTCCATATCTAGTATAAGTTTATATGCAAAAAAAAATCTTATCTAGAATTATGTCAGATCCCTAAAAGTGATACTGCCATTCAAGTGAAGGAAGGGGGGACTTGGATTCGATTTACTAGCATGGCCTGTGTCATCAGATATTTTACAACCTATATCCTGGCGCCAAGGAAGCCTGAGATTCCCTTTACCTGCAGGAATTTATATGATAGCCATGTGGGTTGTCTCACTTTAAAGGGAAGTGGTGGGAATGCATGTTTGTTCGGGTTCTCAAAGGAAATAGTAAAGAAAACATATTCACACTTGTGTATTGGCTGAAATCTGCATTCTGACCTAAAGGGAGGGGTCTCTACCACTTTAATCCTACTGCTTTGCCTAAGGGCATTCAGATTGTGCTTTAGCTGGATGGTTTTCACTTCTGCTTAATAAAAGAATCCTTTTGAACAACTACGTTTCAAGAGTTCGTACTTTCTTAAGTTGGAAGGAGAGGCGATCCTTACAATTAGATGGATATCTAACCCTATCAAGTTACTAAATTAAATTAAAATAATATGGGAAGAAAATATTTTTATTAACAATTTTGAATAGTTAGTAAAGACTATTCCTCCCACAACCACTATTATCTATTATATGTTTTACTCTTTTGAAATATAACAACAAAACATAAGATTCCAGTGTCACAAACTCACTCTAAGGGAAAAGAACAATGAAATAAGACTTATTTTTATTTTATGAAAAATAATAAACTAAAATAAAAAAGATTTGCAAACTTCCCAGTGGCACATCATAAGCTTTGGAAGTAAGATGTATAACACTTCCCCCAAACATGGTGAAATTATTTAAAGAGCTTAAATCTATTTTCCAATCTGTAGCAGAAAATATTCTATTAAATCTTTTTTCTGACTGGCAATTTGCAACAAATTATTTTTACACACTAGAAATTATCTTATTGCTTTGCTTTTCCCTGAGAACTATCAGAAAGCTAAATCTTGACCCATGAAGAGAGTGGGGAATTAAATACATGCGGAAACGTAACAAAGTGGTTAACAGACAAATCCCCCCTCTCCCAGTCACTGATATTCAGTATTTAGAAGATTAACTCCAGGGAGCAGAACAGTTAGAAGATTAACTCCAGGGAGCAGAACATCATGCAGACTGATGATAAAGCTTTTTCAACCAAACTGCTTGAATCCCACCCATTTAGTATCATCTTATTGTGGGTGAAAGGCCCTTGCTGTACCAACTCAGGGTGAAATGCCATGGTCAAATGCTTGCATTTCAGTGTGAGGATTGGGAGGGGGGGAGGGTTGTTTTTTTAACACGATGTACCACCTTCTGATCCTGGTAAATAGATGGGGAAAAAATGGAGGTAGTGACAGATTTTATTTTCCGGGCCCCAAGATCACCGCAGATGGAGAGTGTAGCCAAGAAATAAAAAGATGCTTGCTCCTTAGGAGGAAAGCTATGGCAAATCTAGACAGCATACTAAAAAGCAGAGAAATCACCCTGCCAACAAAAGTGCGTATAGTCAAGGCTATGGTTTTCCCAGTTGCAATGTATGGCTGTGAAAGTTGGACCATAAGAAAGGCTGAGCACCAAAGAATTGAGGCCTTTGAACTATGGTGCTGGAGAAGACTCCTGCGAGTCCCTTGGACTGCAATGCGATCAAACCAGTCAGTCCTAGAGATCAATCCTGACTGCTCTTTAGAAGGCCAGATTCTGAAGATGAAACTCAAATATTTTGGCCACCTAATGAGAAGGAAGGACTCACTGGAGAAGAGCCTAATGCTGGGAAAGATTGAGGGCAAAAGAAGAAGGGGACGACAGAGAACTGGCTGGATGGAGTCACTGAAGCAGTCGGCGTGAGCTTAAATGGACTCCAGAGGATAGTAGAGGACAGGAAGGCCTGGAGGAACGTTGTCCATGGGGTCGCAAAGAGTCGGACACGACTTCGCAACTAACAACAAAAACCATCTTCTGAAATAAAAAAATGAATTCTTAGGCCAGAAAAATAAGGTTATATGTAGAAAGATCAGACTTGCCTCAAATGTGATAAAACATTTATGTATAGGCCATGAAGGAATTTTGATTGCTCAAAATGTGATCCCCAATACTACAAAGCATTTTCTTCCATAGAAGTGAATGTATCCTTTTATTCTTCAAGAAGACAATGAATGGCGGCATGGAAACACACCATGTGAAGCCATCTTCTTAAAATTTCCGGTGTTGGAGCATTCACAACTTCTGGGAAAAACTTTGACTTTCACCACTGGTTATTTAACATATAAATAACAAGTTTGTTAGTAATGGGAGGGGAATGGAAGCAATCTGTAGCCTGATTCAGTCATTGGCTTTTAAATCAGCTATTATGTGTGCCTGAGTAACAGTTAAAGCTATTCATTTATATGAGCCATGGTGACGCAGTAGTTAGAATGCTGTACTGCAAGCTACTTCTGCTGACTGCCTGTAGTTTGGCAGTTCCATGCTCAAGGTTGACTCAGCCTGCCACCCTTCCGAGGTGGGTAAAATGAGGACCCAGATTGTTGGGGACAATATGCTGGCTCTGTAAACTGCTCAGAGAGGAATGTAAAGCACTGTGAAGTGGTATAAAAGTCTAAGAGCTATTACTATTGCTATGGAAGAAAAAGCTCTGACTTTCTGCCAGCTGTCATATGCAGTAGTCCAATTTTACTCAGCAAGGATCCTCAAATATAGTACACATTTTTTTCATAAAATCATAGAATCATAGGGCTGGAAGGGATATTCTCGTCCAACCCCTGCCCAAGGCAAGAGCACCCCTATGAGTCTACCCTGGACAGATGACAGTCCAATCTTTTCTTGGAAACCTCCAGGGATGGAGCACCCCCACCTTTGAGAGTGAAGCTGTCTAATTCATTGTTTTTACAATCAGGAAATTCCTCATTTCCAGGCTGGATCTCCCTCTGACAAGCTTCCACCCATTGCTTTTTATCCATTTTATAGGACTGACAATTCCCTAACAATTATTTAGGGAAGAACATGAAGACTGCATTTGAGAAATAGAGAACAAGTTTGGTATTTGCCAAAGGGAGTTCAGCAGAAGTATTTTGTTCCATAGTCATTTCCCTAAATGCAGTCATTTATTTTCTTTCATGAGGCAGCATATTAATTTGGGGGGTGGGAGGAAATGACATTACTACCGTCCTTACTCTCCAAACCAAAAGTAACTTGAAAATGCCATTAAACCTGCTGTGGTTGAACAGGGAGCTGGGTATTTATGAAAAAGAAATATATGTATGTGATTCATGGCCATTCTAAAATAAACAGCATATTCTTGAAAATGTGAGGCAGAAAAGGTAATACTTGAGTGATATTTCTTGATGAAGTGATAGGAAGGTGAACCAAGGAACTAAGACATGCAAAAAAATGCCAAAAATGCCAAAAAAAGTTTCTTTCAGTATGTAAGGAATAAGAAGCAAGGCAAGGAAATGATAGGTCCACTGATGGGAGATGGTAAATAATAAATAATCCAACCTATCAAAAATAGTCCAACCTATCAAAAGAAGCACCATAGGAGACAGAACAGGAATATAGGTCAAGGTAGGCAAGGAATTGGTAAGAGAAGACCTATCAACCAGGGATGAAATCTAAAATTTGTTACTACCGGTTCTGTGGGCGTGGCTTGGTGGGGGGGTAATGTGACTGGGTGGGCGTGGCCAATTATTATTTTTTTCTTTTAAAACCATTTAAAAGTAAAAACCATGTAAAAAATGCTTTCAAAAGGCTCTGACGATCCCAGCTGAGTTGCCTGATTGGCAGAGACTTTTTTTCTTTTAAATGCCTCTGATGATTCAAGCTGAGTTGCCTGATCGTTACAGGCATTTAAAAGAAAAAAAGTCTCTGCCGATCAGGCAACTCAGCTGGGATCGGCAGAGGCATTTAAAAGAAAAAAAACCCTTTTTTTCTTTTAAAAGCCTTTGATGATCCCAGCTGAGCCGTGTGATCATCAGAGGTTTTTTTTTTACTTTTAAAAGCATTTTTTCCGCCGAAGAGGTTGCAGAAAAAATGCTTTTAAAAGTAAAAAAAAAAAAGCCTCTGATGGCTCAGCTGGGCATGGGGGGGGCAGGGATTTTTGCTACCAGTTTTCCGAACCACCCGCCTTCCATCGCTACTGGATCGGGCGATCTGGTCCGAATCAGGAGCATTTCACCCCTGCTATCAACTCTAGATAAGATGAGATTACCCAGACCAGATGGATTACATGCCAGGATACTGAAGGAACTGGCAGACAGGATCGCAGAACCACTGAATAAAATCTTTCAAAGGTCCTGGAGCACAGGGGATCTACTAGAGGACTGGAAAAGAGCTGATGTGGGTCTGATCCTAGGTTGCATTAATAGAGGAATAGAATCAAGATCACGTGAACTACCAGTACTGCTCTACAAAGCCTTGGCAAGACCACACTTAGAATACTGCATCCGGTTTTAGTCACCCCAATACAAAAAAAGATGTTGAGACTTTGAAAAGAGTTCAGAAAAGAACAACAAAGTTAGGGGCCTAGAAACTAAAACATGAAGAATGATTTTAGGAATTTGGGTATACCTATTCTAGTGAAAAGAAGGATCAGGGGTGACATAATAGCAGTCTTCCAGAAATTGTGGGTTCCCCAACACTGGATGCTTTTAGGAAAAGATTGGACAGCCATCTATCAAAAATAGTATAGATCTCGTGTGAGAGCAGGTGGTTGGACTAGATGACCTTCAAGATCCCTTCCAACTCTATCACTATTACAATTTTCAAAAAAAGGAAAAAAAGTGGAACCAGGAAATTACAGACCAATCACCTTATCATCAATACCCAGGAAAATCCTAGAAAAGATCATTAAGCAGTGTATTTGTGAGCACCTAGAAATGAACAAGAAGATTAATAGAAGCCAGCATGAATTTGTTAAAAACAGATCATGACAAACAAACCTTATTGCCTTCTTTAATAAAATGGTAAATTAGTTGATTCGGGAAATGATGTGGATATAGTATGACTGGACTTCAGTAAGGCATTTGACAAAGTGGAGCACAGCCTATTTCTTCGTAAGGCAGAAAAATGTGGGTTAGACAGTACCACCACCAGATGAATTCACAATTGGCTGACCACATACACCAAGTATATAATCCTCAATGGTCCTACATCTACAAGGAAGGAAGCATGAGGACGGGTACCTCAAGGTTGTCTTGGGCCCAGTACTTTTCAACATCTTCATAGATGATCTAGAACAGGAGTGTCAAACTCGATTTAATTGAGGGCCGCATCAGGGTTGTTTGACCTTGGGGGGCCAGGGTGGGCGTGGCCAGCTTGACGTTACTCGTGTCAGGGGATGCTTGTGGTGGTCCGAGCACTCTGCTAGTGAAAACAGGTTCCTGAGTGCTGTTTTTGGCTGGGACGGCCTCCTGCAAACCTCTGCCAGTGAAAACGGAGCTCGGGAAGGTCACCCACAGCCCTCGTGAGCTCAGTTTTCACTGGCAGAGGCACTGTGGGCTGGTCCCTCACTGTTTCCAGGGCAGCCCTGTGGGCCAGATCTAAGCACCCCACGGGCCAGATCCGGTCCACAGGCCTTGAGTCTAACACCCATGATCTAGAAGAAGGGATAGAAGGAGAACTCATTATGTTAACAATTTGAAAGACAGACTTAAGATTCAGAAGGATCTTGACAGATTAGAGAAACTGGCATTATCCAACAAGATGCAGTTCAGTTGTGAGAAAACTAAGATCTTACACTCAGGCACGAAAAATCAATTGCAGAGTTATAGAATAAGCAGTTCTGGGCTAAATAATAACTGTGACAGAGATCTAGGACTCCTAATGGACTACCACTTAAGTATGAACCAGCAGCGTGCTTCAGCTACCACCCCCACCCCCAAAAAATACCCAATGCAGTCCTAGGTTGCATCAACAGAGGGATAGCATCAAGATCATGGGAAGTGATAGTAGCATGTTATACGGCACTCTATGATCACACTTAGAATACTATGTCCAGTACTATCTCATGCTACAAAAAAGCTGTTGGCGATCCTAGAAAGAGTGTAGAGAAAAGCAACAAAGACAATAAGACAATAAGGGGTCTGGAGACTAAACCATATGATGAACAATTAAGGGAAGTAGGTCTGTCTAGCCTAATAAAGAGAAGGATTAGGGCTGACAACATTGTCTTCCAGGATTTGAGGGGCAATCACAGAGATGAGAGGGTTGATTTATTCTCCAAAACACCTGAGGGCAGGATGAAAAGCATTAGGGGGAAACTTGTTATAGAAAGATCTGACCTGGAACTAACAAGAAATTTCCTGATAGTGAGAACAACTAGCCAATGGAACCGCTTACCTTCTGGAGTTCTGGAAGCTGGAGGTTTGCAAGAAAAGATTGGACGTTCATTTATTTGGGGTGGTATAAGGACTTCTGCCTTGGGCAGGGGATTGGACTACAGTAGAAGACCTCCAACGTACCTTCCAGCACTATGATTCTATGACTTCTATGTGTACATTTGCTTTTTCTTGTTGCAGAATTTTTCAGATACTGTATGCTATTTAGTACTCATATGGGAGATTATGTATTATATCTGTGAGGGGGGGGAAAGTAAAAATGAGTCGAGTAGATTCACGTGACTATTGGCAATTCCAGATAAGTTGTATGAAAATATATTTCTTAATTTTTTTATCTAGTGAATAGCATCAATTTCATTAAAAATTGTACATTGGCTGCATCCAATGATTTGCCCTGGAAGTTTTCAGATGTTCATAACATATATCTGAGACCCATCATATTCAGCCAATGTTATAAATTTCTCTTTCTGCCACGCATACATGCTGGCTACATGCTATGGGAGAAAGTCTATTGGCAGATAGTGGTTGGTTGCCCTGAAATACCAGAGAATACACAATTTTAATTGTATGTATATATTTGTTATTTTTCTTTTATCTTCACTGAAGTTCGTTGTTAAACAAATTTCATTAAAAATTAGTTCTACTGTCAAAGTGGCCTTATGGGATTGGGGGGCAGGCGGGGGGGGAGGGGGCTCCAGTCCACCTCCACCACCATATAGCAATTAACATACATTGATTTACATATTACCCATTAAAGCAAGCAAGTAAGCAAGCTTTAATTTATGTGAAATTTACATGGCATATTTGGAACCATGTGCTATACTATACAAAGGACTTTGCCACAAAAGATTAAATGTATGCATAATTTTACTAATCAGTCTTCCATGACTGATTCTCAGTGAAGAAACACAATCTCAGCTTCATTCCTTTGCAGTTGCAGTGAGCATTTTCACTCAAACTAAAGAGGGCTTAAAATCCCTTTCTGAGACTGAGTAAATCACTTTATTAATCTTACTTCAAAAGCATGCAAGTGCAGCAACAGCAAACTATCCATACTTTCTTTCTCAATAGGTCATTGATATTACCATTTCACTAGTAAGTTTGTGTTAAAAAGGGGAAGAGCAGCTGAGCAGAACAGTAAAAGTATTTCAATTCAAAGAAAAAATTCTTCACAACGCTTGCAGAGAACCCTGTCACCACAGTGATAAAATGATCTCTGAGTCACTTTCTTTCCCAGTATATGATAAGCAAGTGAGAAAAGAAAATGCACAGTGCAAGGGAAAAAGACAAATCTAGCTAAGATATCCAACAATCCTCCCTCCTATATTTGAATGGATCAGTTCATTCTATTATCACTAATGAAGAAAAGGCTTTTGAGAAAAAAAATCTTGGGATGCAGATGCCCAATCAAAACATTTAAAAAGTCATAATTAAGGCAGCTTGCTGCATTCCTGCTTTGGCAACATCAATACAGTGAGATACATGGGCAGATTAGGTTCTGATCTTTAGCCTCTCTTCTGTGCCATATTTTTCTTCTTGGGAATGTGTTCCCAATCCTGCCTGCAGGGAAGTAGGTAACTACAGGCATAAACTCTCACATTTGTTCCAAGCATGTTACTAAATCAGCAAAAACCTTTGCATTTCTGATACTGAGACAAGAAGGAAGAAAGCAAATTTAAGATTCAAAGAATATGATCACAAATTTAAAGATCTTGCAAAACAGCTCTAGAATGACACAGGCTGAAGTGATTAAATTATTTGCCTCTTTATCCCATGTATATAAGTGTGAAAGGGAAAACTGCAAAGTGACTTAGTGTTGTTTCAACTCCTTTGTAAAACAGGTTTCATGCCAAAGACATTGGTCCTAGGTGTCACCCAGCTCTAGTTTTGACGACTGCTTGCCCCCATAGTGGTTTCATCAAGAGTTTCTTCAGTGACCTCTACATCATCATCCTTTTTAAGTCCTCTGCGTGGTTTTTTTGCACCAAGAGCATCTTCCTTGATCAACTCTGAAGCAAGTAATGATGTGACTGCACAGCCAACATTTTTGTTTCCTGGAATGACACAGAAACAAACAAAAGCTAAAATATTAAAAAACAAAAAATGAAGTGTACACTGTCTTAGTGTATTAGTACAATGCCTAATATACTAGCCATTTTCTCTCAAATACTTTAGTTTATACTTGTTCCAATGGTGGGTTTCAACCGGTGTTACTACCAGTTTGCTTCGCGCACACACATCCCAAGAGAGTACAGGGACCTGGTGGAAGTGTTCAGTGAGAAGTCCAATATGCTCTCTCCCCATCGTCCTACAGACTGTGCAATTGAGATGAAACTGCCTAAGCCCAAGATGTATGCAATGACCCCCAGGGAGATGGAGGAGTTGAGGAATTTTGTGGACAAGAACCCGGTGAAAGGATTCATTCAGCCAGAAAAATCCCAGGTGCCAGCCCCTGTACTGTTCAACAAGAAGGATGGATCCATGAGACTGTACGTGGATTTGCGTGGAATTTATGGGGTGTGTGTGTCAAGAACATGTATTCCCCCCCGCTCCCATGAAGGACATTCTAGGATACCTATCCAAAAGGAAGGTATTCACTAAGCTGGACTTGAGGAAAGCATATTACTGAATACGGATTAAGAAGGGAGATGAGTGGAAGTCTTTCATTCAATCAGTGTGTTGTCTGGGTATAAATAGTTTGAAAGATAGTAATCATAATGTTTACAACAATATTCATTACATTGATATTAATTCTGTAATAATAAAAATAATAATCATATTTACTTTTCTATTTTAACAAATTTCCCTTATTTCATTAATCTTTTCCTTATATTTCCATGTTTCTAACTTCTGTTTTTGTTATCTAACCATTGATAAAATAAATCCCATATCATAAAATATTCAGTTTGTTCCTTTTTCTTAATTGCAAGTGTTAATCTATTCATCTAAGAGAGGCGGGGCTGACATCACAGCAAAATGGCACATCTCCAAGGGGCTCCATGGAATTGCACCAAATTTGACTTGCTAGGAGGTTCTGAGGGACCCAAATCATCTTGGAGGGGTGATGAAGATAGAGAGGACACTCCGTAGATCACAAGGAGACAAGCAACTTCTTTGATTGATCCAGACTAAACTCTCAATCTGGTGGGAAGAAAAAGATGGCCATTGCATGAAGCTGTGACAGCCGACCGATATAGAAAGCATAAAAGACTGAGGAACAGTGTGGTCAATCTGGGTGAGATTTTTCAACTTCTGCTGAGGAAAGAGCCCCCTTAAAGCTAGCCTTGGTGAAAAGAGGATGAGGTGGAATTGTTTGTTTTCCACCCCTCAAGAAAAGTGGTGAGCAAGCTATCTATAGATCTGGAAAAAGAGAACTTTTCAGAAGAGAAAAAGAAATTTGAAGCTAGGAAGCTGAACTGGGGAACTTAACTATAATATTGACTAAGTTGAAAACTTTTTAGATTATGGAATTCTGACCCAGAGAACTTTTTTGGAAAAAAAAAGCTTGGACTGAATAGTATCAAATAAATTAAAGAGAGAGAAAAGGGAGAGAAATAGAGCAGCAGCGACATCTACTGGTGGAGAAAAACACAAGAGAAGTGAAAGGAAGAAGTGAAAGTGAGAAAAAATATGACCTTGAAGGTCTGCTGAAGATAAGCTTGGCTGTTATAAACAACACCTGCACCAGCAAATTGTTTATACTGGATAGCTGAGACAGAAAGTGAAACATGACTTTTTAAACAGTGGAGTTCTTTGAACTTATGTGGAAGCTAAACAGATAAAGTGAGCAGAAGCTGGGAATAGCAGGGAACGTCTCCTTTTTGAACTCTCCTTTTGGTGATTTATAAGCCTTGATGACTAAGCTTTGGGGCTTGGTGGGCCTATGTGGATTACAAATTTATCAAGAGAAGAAGAGAATATTTTTTGAAAAACTCGGACTAACGAACAACTTTTTTTGGATTACAATAACAAAGTGAAATTGTTTGCAGATTGAAAATAAGAAGAGGGGGAAAAAAGAAAAGGGGTTTTGTGGTATTTTGATTGTTGAAAAGACTTTTTAAAAGAGGAAAGTTGGTAGGTGATTGTGAAATTTGTGTTATAACATCTGGGTTAGTATTAATTACCTCCTTTAACTTACTTAAATCCTCTAAGGCTGCCCAAAATGACAAGCACTTCAAACTTAAGTAAATTAGAGGGGAAAATGCATCTGGGTCATCATCAGCACAAGTATTGGTAGCATCTAGCCCAGTAGGTCAAAGAACTTTGGACACTATGTTGTAGCAAGAAAAAATGAATACGATGCAGGCAGAAATGAAATCAATGATTCAATTACTGCATGAAGACATGAAGGTAAGAATGGAAAAGATGGAATGATAAAATGGAGAATATTCAACAAATAATAAAAATGAACAACGGATTCAGAAAGTAGAAGAGAAAGCAGAACAAACAGAGAAAAAATGGAGATGGACTATAGTAGTGATGGCTAACCTTTTTGCCATTGCGTGCCAGGAGCGTGTGTGTGTGGTCGCGTGTGCACGTGCCCACACCCATAATTCTATGTGCCCTGCCCCTGTGACCCCCGTCTCCCGGCACAGGATGGCATGGTAGGCCTATTCTTTGCTCTCCCCAGCTTCCAGAGCCTTTCTAGGAGCCTGGGGAGGGCGAAAACGGCCTTCCCCACCCTCCCAGAGGCCCTCTGGAGGCTGAAAACAGCCCGTTGTTGGCATTTCTGGCCTCCGAGGGGGGGGGAGAGGCGGGGAAGGCCGTTTTTACCCTCCCCAGACTCCTAGAAAGGCTCTGGAGAGCAAAAAATGGGACTTCCGGTCCACCGGAAGTTGGGAAACGGGCCATTTCTGGCCTCCAGAGGGTCTCGGGGGGGAGGCCATTTTCACCCTCCCCAGACTCCTAGAAAGGCTCTGGAGGCTGGGGAGAGAGAAAAATGGGCCTTCTGCACACTCCCACCAAGGTCCTCCGGAGGCAGGAAACCGCCTGTTTCCCTACTTCTGGTGGGCCCAGAAGGCCCGAAAAACAGCTGACCGACGCTCACATGCGCGCCGGAGCTGAGCTTGCATGACCACCGATATGGCTACATGTGCCATAGGTTCGCCATCACGGGACTATAGACTCACATAGACAGACAAAAATCAAGAGAAAATAATAAATCACATTGGAGATGGCTACGGCTGAATATTTCTTGAGGTTCCAGAATATTGAGGAAGAAAAAGGGGAAAACCTTGCAGAGATAATGGCAGAACTGTTGGTGGAGACTTTAGAGGTGAAACTTCCTAGAGAGGTACGTGTGAGATTCACCAAGAAAGCAATAAGGGTGGAAATATTACAAAGAGTAAGAGATGACCCACTGAAATATAAAGGGAAAGAAATACGTAGTAGTCCTAAAACAGATCCCTAGAAGTGTAAGGGATACAAGGAAACAATGCCAGTTCTTGACAAGACAACTAATTAAGCATGGAGTAAACTTCAGATGGCTGATACTAGAGGGAATACTGGTGACTTGTATGGAACAAAGACACAGACTGGACTCCATAGAAAAAGCGGAACAATTCTGGACTTTATAGAAAAAGCGGAACATTTTGGGCCATACGAAGAAAAAAGATCAAGAGAGGAAATAGAAGAAAGAAAACAAGAGGAAGCTACAGGAGGGGGAAACATACAACAAAAAGAAGATGAAACAAAACTAGAGGAAAGAACAAGACAAGAAGGCACAAGGATAAAAGAACAGAGAAAAACAAGAATGACTAGAACAACAAGACCTATCTACAAGTAAAATTATGGAAGAAGAAATGAAACTATTGTCAATTAACATAAATGGACTGAATTCTCCCATGAAAAGGACTTTCAATAAATATGGAAAATTAAAGTTAGATTTAATTTGTCTTCAAGAGGTCCATATTAAAAAACAAAACAATAAATTACTGGAGTATCCGAAAATTGGGAAATTATATTCCTCTTTAGCGCAGCAAAAGGAGTAGCTTTATACATAAAAGAAACAATAAACGCTAGGCAAATTTTTGCAGATGAAGATGGGAGAATTTTGATGGTGGAGGTAACAATGAACTATAAAAATATACTTTTTTTCCTGTCTTTTAATTCCCTCCATTAATTCCATCATAGATATTCTTTCTTCTAATAATTTTTTGAACTTTTCCGGGATTGTAGGCAGTTCCATTTTCTTCAAATATTGTTCTATCTCATCTTCTTCTAGTATTTCTTGTTGATACAATCCATTGTAATATTTCTTAATTATCCTCTTCTTTTCCTCACTTCTATAACATATCTTTCCATCTTGATCTATTGACTTATTAATTTCTTTTCTTTCTCTTTTTTCATTTTATATACTAACCATCGTCCTGGTTTATTTGCATTTTCAAAAAAGGTTTTGCTTTGTAGCTTTTATTCTATTCACCAATTCTTCATTTTCCATTAAATTCATCTTATGTTTTTTGCAAATCCAACAAATTTTTAATCTTTTTGTCGTGCGGGTTTTTTTGTAGTTCCATCTCTAATCTCTTATATTCTTCCTCTAAATTCTTTTGCATTTGTCTGTTTTGTTTATTTCGTTTTCCTAAATATGTCATTGCCAATCCTCTAATGTATGCTTTACTGGTATCCCACACATTTTGTAAAGATGTATCTTCTTTCTTTTTCTCTTTAAAAAAGAAAGTAAATTCTTTTTCCATATATTGTTGAAATTTTTTTTCATTTAGTAATTTTTGATTTAAAGTCCATCTCATTTTTCTTTTCCCCCTTTCCATGTCATTATTATTCGATTGTGGTCTACCCATACATTTATTCCAATATCAATTTCTTGTATTTTAGCTATTAATTCTGTTGACATCCACATCATGTCTATTCTTGACCACGATAGATGTCTATTTGAGTAAAATGTGTACTGCTTTTCTTTTGGATGGCTTCACCTCCAAGCATCTTGTATTTTTAATTCATCTATCATTGTGAAAAAAGTTTTTGGCAATGTTTTTCTTATCTTCCTATTTAATTTTGTAGGTTTATAGTCCAACTCATTGTCTATTATTGC